CAGAGTGAGAGGGTCTGAAGACCTTTAGTCGAGACTTTAGGCTGTTTAAGAACCTTCCGCAGTATAACTATCATAGAAACTGAACTTGGTAATTGCAATCCGGCTTAACTGCAGTCTAGGGGGAACCATATCCTGGTGACCTCTCTTAACCTGAATACAACCGTTTACTTGCTTTGTTTGTTTGTTAGTTTAGACTTGCATTAAAGTTTCATTGCTAGATAACAAGAATTCACTGAGTAGTCATCAAATCTAGGACCCGGGTTGACATTTAAACCCAAACCCGCTATACTGCGCTTTAGGAAGTGGTTTCACTTGGCCAATTCCTGGAGTGACAGTAGAAGTGAGTCAAGTTTTTGGCGCCGTTGCCGGGGACTTTCTAGAGTATTAGGAAAGGCAGAAGTTTGTTACTTTAGCATTTTTCTTTTCTTTTCCACCCTTGCTTTTCACTTGGGTGTTTTTGTTTTTGTTGGTGCAGATCTGAATCATGGATCCTCATGGCTTCTCCAACAATTGGGGGTATCCACCACCACCCGAGTGGTATTACCCCGAGACTCCCTAGAGCAATCAAGGAGGAGAAGACTATGGATTCGGGTTCCAGTACCAACCCCCTTACTACGGAGAACAACCGGACCCCTGGGCATATCAAGAACAACCTCATTACCAAGAAGAATTTTTCCCACAACCAGAGGGGCCATTGGAGCTGGAATTACCCATGGCGGCCTTCACGGGCCATTTTGCAGAGCCATGCTACACTCCACAGCCAGATCCACACTATGAATTAAGACTTCTCATGGAGCAGTTTGCTCGAGACTGTGATAGAACATGCTCCAAGATGGATCATTGTGTCCAGGCCTATCGTGAAACAGAGGAGATCCTCCTGAGCCTTAAGAAGAGCGTCGATGATCTTGAGAGATCTTGGGCACAACGTGCTCCAGATCACCCTTCTGCTACCATACTAGAAGAGGAGGAGGAAGAAGAAGGCTACAAGGACATTGTGGAACACACAGAAGTTGTCACGGAGAGCTCTCGTGATGGTCATGATCAGGAATGTCCTGTCGTAGCCGACCACACCTTCCCACACCCCAAACTAAGCTTTGAAGAGGCGGGCATGAGTGAGGAGATGCAAGAAGATCTCATGAAAGAAATTGCTTGGCAACTTGCTCTCCAATCTGTGCTAGAAGAAGAAGAGCAAGAAAGGGTGCAGAAAGTAAGTTGTGGAGGATGACGAAAGTGAAGCAGGAGGAGTTCTTGATCATTTCCCAGGGGTGATACCACATGAAGAAGGAAGGGAGGTTGAAGAAGAAATTGGCGTCCAGGCTGAGGACGGAGTTAAGGTGGAAGAGGCCTGCACCGGCCATGAGTTACATGTGATATCTCCACCAAACTTCGAGGAACTGCTTAGCAAGGACCCATTTGCAGTGTCTCTTTGCCAGACCAAGGCCACATCGACATCGGTCTCTCTTGGTGGACGCGATGGTGGTCAATCGATGCTGTCATATCTGGTTTGGGGCAATGAGACGAGAGAAAAGAAGAAGAGGTCTCGAGGGTGGAGACGTTATCTGCATCAAGTGCACGAGCTTCCATCACCTGTCATACCACATGCTCGTGACTTGAGACTCCACCTCATCGACGAGAACCTCAACTTCAAGGAGGTTTTGGGGTGGACCGAAACTTAGGAGCCATCGTCCGGCTCACGACGTGAAAGAAGCGCTTGTTGGGAGGCAACCCAACCAGTCGGTTTGCATTTCTTTCTCTATTTCTCTTCGGTTGAGTCAGTTTTGTTCTTTGATTTCAGAGTCAATAATTCAACCTTTGTGAGATTTTGTGTGGTGTTTGTGTTCCGACTACTTTGTCCTCCTGGAATGCACCGCCTTCCCCGTCCACCATCATTCACCGTTGACATGGTAACTTCGTTCTACCCTCCTTATCTTTCCTCCATTGAGGACAATGTCGTGCTTAAGTGTGGGGGGATGTTCGATTATGTATGTGTGTGAATGTTTGACTGTTTGTGTGCTTGGAGCCTAGTCCACTGTCCAAATTTCGATTTGAGGGCTCCAAGTACGTGTTCCTTGCAATTGAGTGCTCAGTATGCTTTGAATTGACAGTCTTTATAGTAATATGCAACCTAGGGAGGTAGTGTAGCACTATGGAGGATGTTGATGCATTTAAGAAGTCTCATTTCTTCTTCATATTGTGTTGGTTGATTGAGTGAATTAGTGATCTTAGGACCCCTGAATTGTGTGGTGTTGTGGACTCTCTACCTGTCATGGACTCTTGTTTCATGTTTTGAGTTTAACAGGTGCTCGAAAATGTGCTTTAAAATAACGTCTCCCGTGCGAATAGGGCAAAAGTGTGTAAGGGGAGACGGGAATTCATTCCCAATTTTCACCTACTACCTCCAGCCCCCTTACATGTCTTTCCCCCGCACGAGGCTCGAGACACCCGCTCCTGGCATGGTCGGTAAGAGCCGGGCTCCCGCAAAACCTCTGCTAGGTGGGAGCCCCCATTTTCTGAAAAGCAGGTTGGGACCCTTGAAAAAAAAAAGGAAAAATAACAGAAAACAAGCAAAACAGAAAGAAAAGGGGTTCCAACCATCTTCAAGAAGAAAATAGAGCACCTTGACTAATGTGAGTCCATGATCCTTTGTTTTTGAGAATCTCTTCATCCACGATTCATTTGTCCTCTGTTCACTATTTGCCATGATGCCGACTCGATACTAGTGCTCTCGCCGAAGAAGCTATGAGATGACTTGTGCGTCGGTTGACCTCGTAAGTTGCTAAATGATCTAGGAAGTCCTCTACCTACGATCTGGGTTGTTTGTTGCTATAGAGGTCTGGAGAGTTGCATTGGTTTGAGTTAAGTTTGCTTAGGGACAAGCAAACGGTTAAGTGTGGGGGAATTTGATAACGATGTAATTGCACATATTTGCGCCCCTAGTTCTTATCCGTTTGAGGGGCATAGTCGTGTATTTTTGGCCTATTTTACGCCGGGTTGTGCTATTTTGTCACATTTCAGGTCCCAGGCGTCAAAGGAAAGGCTAAGCACGAGTTTCGGGGCATTCGGAAGTCATTTCGTCGAGCTGGAGCCAAAACACGGGCACACCTAAAACAGAACACGGCCGTGTTCTGTGGCCGTGCTTTTACTGCCGGGAGCTAATTGAGTTTGGCAAATTCAAGCTGCAAACACGGGCTGAAAGCACGGCCGTGTCCACCAAAGCACGGCTGTGTCCTCCCAAAAGCACGACCGTGTTTGCACCAACAAGCTGGCCGTGTAATTAAACCTAGCCAAAGCATGGGCGGGTTGAGGCAAAGCACGGCCGTGCCCTCGACCGTGCTTCGCCCAGTGATGCCCTTTTAAGAAGATTTCAGCCAAAACAGAGGGGGATTCGAGTTTTAGAGAGACAGAGCGATTCCTAGAGAGAGAAAGCGACGAACAAGAGTCTTCAAGTGCCCTAGCTTGATCTTCATCACCATTGGAGGCCAGCTTGAGCTTGGAGAAGTGCCGATCAACGTCCAGGAGCAGGAATCCATCCTTCACAGTATGAATTCCGCGTCTTATTCTGCTTTTGCTTCTTTCTCCATGGAGTAGTTCTCCCATTCATTTGGGTATGGAGAACCCTAGATTTGTATGTTAGGTTTGATTGTATGAACCCAAGTACTGATTCTATGATTTGATTATATTCGATTGAGGTTTGAATGATTGAATGGCATGAATCCTGATCAAATTCCTGTTGTTTCTGCTTTAACCTAGAATGAGAATATCTGCCTAGGTTGATAGAGCATCCTTGATTGAAGGTAGGGAGTCGGTGACTTTGTCGAGGAGCCAACTCACTATTCTGTACCAAATTTACTTCGGTAGTGGAGGTTTTGTTCGTTAGGGCCTCAATCTGTTTACTCCGGTGGAGGTTAGTCGCCCGCTAGAGACTCAGATTGAGAGGGTCTGAAGACCTTTAGTCGAGACTTCAGGCTGTTTAAGAACCTTCCGCAGTATACCTATTATAGAAACTGAACTTGGTAATTGCAATCTGGCTTAACTGCAGTCTTGGGGGAACCATATCCGGGTGATCTCTATTAACCTGAATACAACCGTTTACTTGCTTTGTTTGTTTGTTAGTTTAGACTTGCATTAAAGTTTCATTGCTAGATAACAAGAATTCACTGAGTAGTCATCAAATCTAGGACCCGGGTTGACATTTAAACCCAAACCCGTTATACTACGCTTTAGGAAGTGGTTTCACTTGGCCAATTCCTGGAGTGACAGTAGAAGTGAGTCAGTATAAATGGTGCAATTTGCTTTAAGTCTAATTTTCCCCACAAAGAAACTAAAATGTTTATAAGTGAATGCATTCATAATATATTATTCTTCTAAAATTGTATATAATTTTATATGAATTGTAGCATATATTAAATATACATCTAAATTTTAAGTAGAAGAATGTATTAGGTTAGGAAAATCACAAGAGAAAAATATGATAAAATATCTTAATTTTCTTACAAATATCAAATATGTTTATATATGACACAAATATGTTTTGGATACGAACATTGGATCATGTTGGATGGGTGGGTCACTTGACGGGTTGTTTTGCTCACCTCTACGTATACTATTATGGTTTGTGTAGATACATTTTCATAAAAAATTAGATTTCCTTTTCTTACTCTCATCACCCTTACAACAACAACAACAAAAAAACTTTGTACTACGTGTACCATACTAGATGTTGGGTGACAAAAACTGCATACCACCAGCTTGTAACCTATCAAATATTTTATCCGTCAACCACAAAAACTGTTAATCATTCTCCATGTCACAATACTAGTCAATCATGAACGTAAACCAACTTCAAAATGTGAACAGGAAAGGGAATTATACGTTGCCTCCCCCACCCCAACTAGACAACTCTCGATTCTTTCCCTACAAATGAATCCTACTTGAATTTCTCATCAAGTCATCCAAATTCCAAACTACCCCTTTTTCCACTTCCAAAACCTAACATATCTATCTACTAGTTTCACTCTCTTCAAAATTTTCCAACTAAGCAGCGCTCTCTCTCTCTCTCTCTCTCTCTCTCTCTCTCGAGAACACATATAGTTATGTCCCGCCACCCTGAAACCAACCCTCATTTCGTCAGGCCACTCCAACAGCCCCGCCGCGACCGAGGCGACGGCCGCCGTTCCACCCCACCGGCGGTCATAACTCCTCCAGTCAGTGGCCCAGCCACTCCTGCCCCGCCGCGCCACCATAACCAGGAAATTCCGGACCCTGGCAACCAACACTTCCCTCTCCACGTCGACGAGGAATTACTCCCGCCGCGCAATAAGCCATTGGGCCCGATCCGCCACCAGGAACGCGGACAGTTTCGCAGCCCATGGGCCATACCACCACATCACCCGCAGCCGGCCCACGGCCCAGCCCATGATGGCAACTACCAAAGCCCATGGATACTCCCGCCCTCATCATCCCACCCGACCGACGATCACGGCCCGCTCGTCACCGAACCCCACCGCCACGACTCCGAGCCGCCACCGCACCCGCATCCACAACCACAGCGTCCACAGCCACAACCGCCGCCGAAACATCCACGTCACCACCGCCAACCCCGCGACGGCCGCAAGCATCCCCCTCCTCCGCCGCCGCCGCACGACGGCCCCGATCCGGCCGTGGTCGGGCACCGGCGGGGACGGGGGCCCGTGGTGCCGTCGCCGCGGAAGACGAAAATCACGACGTGGTGCGCCGCCGTGTGCTGCGCGATCTTCTGGATCGCCATCTTCCTCGTCGGATTGATCGTCCTCATCGTCTACCTCGTCTACCGCCCGCACAACCCGCGGTTCGAGGTCTCCGACGCGACGCTGAACGCCGCGTACCTCGACGCCGGATCCCTGCTCAACGCCGACGTCTCGGTGCTGGCGAATTTCACGAACCCCAATCGGAAGGTCGCCGTCGATTTCGGGAGCCTGATCGTCGATCTCTACTACGGGAGCACGCTGATCGCGACCCAGTTCATCCAGCCGTTCTCCGCCGACCGGGCCGGGTCGCGGTTCGTGAACCTGGAGCTGGTGACGAGCCAGGTCCGGATCCCATTGGAGGACAGCAAGAAGCTGGAGGAACAGATCAACAAGAATACGGTGACGTTCAACGTCAAGGGGGTGTTCCGGGTTCGATCCAAGCTGGGTTCGTTTCTGAGATACTCGTATAAGCTCTACGGTCACTGTACAATTGTCACGACGGGGCCTCCGAATGGGATATTACGTGGGAAACGGTGCATTACCAAGCGATAGAAATTTTACTTTTGGAGTAATTTCATGTCTAATTGAATCATTAATGACATGACATGGAACATAATCCACAGAGGAGAAGTTGTGTAGCATCACGAAGTGATACAAAAATGTTTTGATGCTTACCAAAGTGCTCATCTGTAAACAGCGATATATGTGTCAAACGATAAACCGGAACATGTTTATGGCAAAAACTGAATTCAAACTACACTGCAATCTAGCACAATTGGGGAGGGCTGTCCAGAAAACCCTTTGTTTTATCTTCCCCTAAATACAAAATAATATACAGATGCTTCAATGTGAATTTCACTAACAGTTACAGGGTTCAGAACACTTTGTATTCGTCAGCGACTGAACAGCTTGATTCTCCTCGATATAAAGAGTACATAGAAAAGCAATCCCCATAATATGGTACACTCTTCAACCCGAATTGATGACGTAAAAAGCCGTTACTTCCTTCTTTAAGGGGGGACACACATTAATGATTATTAGCATCCAATATCTTCTTCTTTTGATTCAAAGTCTCCTGTAAGGGTCCCTTGAGAAGAAAGGATGCCCGAGGGCCTCGTGAGCCGTTAGCCTGGCCGAAGGGTCGTACCGAAGAAGACCCTGCAAGAGGTCGATTATGTCTCCCGCCGAGTGATCCACGTGTTGCATTACAAGGTTCTGCCAAAATCAATTGCATACATGGGCAACCACAAAATTAAGCAAAAGCTAAAACAAACACAGACCAAGTGAGAGCTATACCTGAAGACGAGGCAGCTTCATGACGGCTTTAATGCTATCACGAGAGGTTGCATTGTCGGGCCAATCCAACCTACCTCTTCTCACGTACTTGTCAGTGTGTCGACTGTGGATGAGCATGGAAATGGAGAAAGACAATCCAGAATAATAAGCAAGAGAATTGCTTGATTCCATGATGGAAGCAATAGAAATGGAAGGATAGAGAGAGAAGACAAACTCCGCTCTCTTCAGCATCTGCTGAGGTAACGGGCCTAATACTCTTTCCATCATAGCTAAGTGCTCCAAGTTATCGTGGGTCTGGAACAATGCTTCCCCCTGGTAGGAAAAAAAAAATTCATTGCAACATAATCCTAGAAATGTAGAATATGTTCAATGGCTAGAAAGTGCATAATTTGGGACTCAGTGAACTTACTGTGCAAAGTTCCACCAATATACAGCCGACACTCCATATGTCACATGAGTAACTCCATCCAAGGCCTCAAAATTGGAACAGGCTATTGAAATTAATCTCATTATTGAAACAAATGAAAGAAACTTCATTTAAGGGGGTAAAGAATTAGCATACCAAGGATAACCTCGGGCGCACGGTAATGTCTGGTGGAAACAATATAGTTGTGATGTTTATGACCATCAGCAGTGCTGCCAAAATCAATGACCTTAATGGCACTAGACTTTGGCAACCTCTTGTAACAGCCTGCCTCACTAAATGAATGTGCTGGAACCTAAACAGGCAACAAAACTAGATTGATTTAGAAAGGAGAAGCAGGAGAGAGCTTCTGTCATTATTCAATAGCATACCAAGGAAAGCACCTTGTAGTCTGGAATTTTCACATAATCTGGAGAAACAAAGAGTATATTCTCTGGCTTCAGATCGGTATGGATAAGAAGCAAGTCATGCATAACTGCAGAGATGGAGAGAGTCAATACTAGTATTAAGACAGTATCAAGCTTTGATGCTCATTTTCCTCCGTCATTAATCATCAAAGAGTGGTAAAAAGAAGAAAGAAGAAGAGAGCAAGAGGAATTAGGAACTCCCCATCATAGGAACAGCTTTAATTTAAGTTTCCCTGAACAGCATAAAACATGCAGCCCAAGAAACTTGAAAAGCATAATAGATGGTGAAAGGGAAAACATTTACACACATGCTACACATTCCAAGAGTTGTCTGCCAAGCTCACGGACAAGGTCTACTGGGAATGGTCGATAACTATTTTTTCGAAGAAAATCGTATAAGCTTGGTCCAAGTATCTCAAAGACCTGTTAAACACACATCATTTTAAAAACCCATCGTCTCAACCCCCTGAAATTGTACAGAAAAGGCTATTAATCAAACTTTGCCACATTAAAAATTGTATACTTACAATGCAGATATGGTTCCGGTAGTCAAACCAGTTTCTTATTTGTACACAACTGCAAAAAAGAAACTCATTTGACTCTATGCTGATGAATAATAAAAAGGAAAGATTATGCTCAAGCTGCTTTAACAGAGGTAAAACTCACCGGCTGCCATTTCTATCATACTTCCCTAGCAACTGGAGTGCATCAATTTCGGACATTGCTGCCTCCCTGTATTTTTTTATACTTCTCACAACTTTTACGGCAACCATCTCTCTCGTTTCCCTATCCCAGCATTCCAAAACCTGACCAAAGGTTCCTGGAGCAGAAAAAAGCTAGTATTTAAATATGCCAGCCAAGGAAGAAATACCCCACTATAAGATGGCAGGACATCCGAGGAGATCTAACCTTCGCCAATTTTCCTATGGATCTTGTCTGCAAGTAGATAAACAGACGATCAGAAGGAGAAACCAAATGTATGGTCATCAAAGAATGTAAGACTGAGCCCAAGATATGAACTAAATTAAAAATCTTGGGAAAAGGGTGAATGCTGCAAATGAATCCAGAGAAAATTTGGTCTGCTTGGTCTAAAAGAGTTTCAAAAGCTCAATTTCAAACAAGAGTAGTATCATAAAGGCTCAGAAAAAGAAGGGTTGTGTAAATTGGGGTATCGATCTTAGGGTGCACGAAAACAAGTTAAAAAATAACATAATAGCCTGCTCAGTGGTGATCAAGTGAAATTACAGCGAGATGTTAAATTCTCTCCGAGAGCAAACATGTAATGTCCATCTTTGTCATCGTCTCGCCATGGGGGAGAGCCCTTTTGAGCCAATCCTTTTAGATATAAACTGGAATGGTCTGCGAGTAGTACTCTTGAAGGTCCCATGCTTGTCCCATTTCCAACATCTTGTCCAAAATACAATCCCGGCTGAGCCTACACACAGCCATTCGTTCATTTTCCGCTAAACACACAGTAACTAATAAAAGGTCACTGTTTTACAACAGTTCACCGATATCAATAAGGCTTCCAATTGCTATCTAACCAAACAACAACCTCAAAGCTTTTTAGACAACACTAGCTAGTTGTCAGCAAACTATACATGTCTGGCCAGAAGGACCATAAATCATAATAGCCAGAAGTATCTTCCATACATAAACAAGAGTTATAAAGACGGATCCATTTTCTCTTTTAGACATTCTGCATTAGAAAGCAATGCTACAAATTTCAGGCAGTGGAAGCCTTCTCAAAACTGCCTAGAACCATTAGTAATTTTAGCAGTCAAAACTTCCAGGAGCACCCCCAATCCCTTCTCTCTCCAAATACTTCCATTTCACAGGAAAGCAACAAATCAGCTTTTCACTCGATAAAATTCAGCTGGAATCTCATTTAAACAGGAGCATCACATTGAGCCAACTTTTACGTATAACAAGGGAAGGAAACCCCCTGAAGCTTCAATCAATAGATCAAATCAGCAATTGCCGATACTGAGAATCGAGGACCAAATGAAGAAAGAAAACAGAACAAAAAAGGGAAGCTGTTACCTTGGTGTGAGTTTGAGGCGGGAAATCCCAAGCGAGCCTAGGTCTCTTTCTGGGACGTCGATCCATGTGATTATGAAGGAACTCGGCGACGTAGTCCGTCTCCATCAGAGGGTGAACAAGAACCCTAACCCTAAATTCATCAGTAGTATCCAAGATCGATCCAATTCAATTTGGGGATCAGATTCAGAAGAGCGTATTTTGCCCTAACTATTAGACAGTTTTTGTTCTTCTGGAATTTTCTGTTTTCCCCCTTTTCCTCATTTTCTGATAAGTTGATCTGCACCGTTAGATTAGGCTCTGCCCGGAGTTCGGTTTGAACCTACTCGATATTTAACCCCGGTTTAGTTAAAGCTATTTTTTCCAAGGTTGTCAACCCTGTTTGTAAAATACGAACAATGAAAATACAGACACAACGATTTACGTGGTATCCTCGTTCATATGAACAGGATTAATCCACGAAAGACCCTCTCAAGGAGTCTTCGGCTATAGTATTCTTAGGGTTTTCTCTTGACTATTGTACAGAGGAAACACGGCAGCAGCAGGACATATATATGTCCACCAAACCCGAAAACACAAGCTAGGGATTGGGAAATTATACAAAGACACCTGAACAAATAGAAGCCGACAACTAAGCCTACTCCAAACCGTACGTACTCAACACACTACACGTACAGTTCACAACACGCCCCCTTAAGCGATGGCGTGAATGTAGACCTGGCAATCGGGTCGGGTTGGGTAATTTTGGGTTGGGTATCTTGGGTTACGGGTCTTTACGGGTCGGGTCTGGGTTTGTTGATTTCGGGTCATATATTGATCCAACCCATTGGGTTTCGGGTCGGGTCATTTCAGGTTATGAGCGTTCTCAGATACAATATCAAACATGCTTCATAAATTTTTAAAGAACACAAATTTTTACATATGTGTGACAATAGTTTGCCTAGCACATGTCAATTAACAAATGCTCAACTCCTTCCATGCTAATGAAAAAGAAATACAAGTTGCACAAATCGTCAAAAAACAATAACGAAAGTAATACTACTATAATAAAAAAAATGATGCTTGATTATCTTTACACTCCAAACTTGTCTTTCAAATCCATATGATTTTTTTTAAACATCTCATCAAAGTACGAGTGATTTTATCATTTTGAGAGTGGCATATGCAATGAAACGGGTCTAGCGGGTCAACCCACAAACCAACCCGACCCGACCCAAAAACTACGGGTTAATCGAGTCCGGATCATTTAGGTTTCGGGTTATAAAAACCTCAACCCATTCTCTATTTTTCGGGCGGGTTCGGGTAGGGTCAACGGGTTGGGTCCTCATTTGCCAGGTCTACGTGAATGTCATGAATGCCAAGCTTGGAAGCTAGAAATGAGAACTGCTCGGCACCTAACCCATTTGTAAACATGTTGGCTAACTGGTCATGAGAGGAGATCTTTCAGGGAGCTATTTCACCAGAGGTAACGTGCTCCCTAACAAAATAACAATCCATCCCCACGTGCTTCGTCCGTTCGTGAAAAACGGGGTGTGCAGCGATATGCAAAGCTTCCTGATTGTCGCAATGCAGCGGATTAGGAGCATCAATGGAAACATCGAGCTCGCTGAGAAGCCAACGAAGCCAGAGTAGTTCACCCACGGTGCTAGCCATGGCACGATACTCAGCTTCTGCATAAGAACGAGCTACAACAGACTGCTTTTTGGTGCGCCAAGATACCGAGCAATCGCCCAAGCGAATGAAATAACCATTAGTAGAATATCAGGAGTGTTGACAACCACCCCAATCAGAATCACAATAAACAGTCAGACGAAGTGAACCACTTGTCGAAAAACGGAGACCACGGCCAAGCAAACCCTTGAGATACCAGAAAAACGATGTGCAACATCCTTATGCTACTGTCTGGGAGAGTGAACAACCTGACTCAAGATATTATCAGCGTAGACAATGTCGGGCTTGTAATTGTCAGATACTGCAGATGATCGACGAGACGTTGAAAACCAGAGGGATCCTTAGCCGTAGGACCCTCAATCCGGGTGAGATGATGGTTCTGCTTAATGGGAAAAGCACACGGTTTAACACCTAGTGCGCCGGCGTCCTTGAGAATGTCGAGAGCATATTTCCGCTGAGATAAAACCAAACCACGACGCGAACGCACTACTTCAATGCCCAAGAAATACTTTAGTAATCCTTGATGCTAAACTGTGTCTGCAGAAAATCCTTCACACGCTGAATAGTTCGCAGGTCATCCCCGCCAAGGATTATGTCGTCCACATAGATAAGAGCAAAGATAAAACTACCATTTCGGCAAAGCAGGAGAGAAGGGTCGGCCTTTGACTGCTGAAAATCGAACTGCTGTAGGGACTGAGTAAACTTCATGTACCAGTTGCGGGAAGCCTGTTTAAGACCATAGAGAGATTTGTGAAGACGGCATACCCTGTTCTCCCCCGGTCGAGAAAACCCAGGAGGAAGCTTCATATAAACCTCTTCATGCAGATCACCGTGCAAAGAGGCGTTGTTAACATCCAATTGATGCAGGTGCCAGCCGCGGTGAGCGGCAACAGAGAGAACACAACAAACTGTGACCAATTTGGCAACTAGGGCAAAGGTATCATGATAGTCCACGCCCTCAATTTGGGTGAAACCCTTAGTGACCAAGTGTGCTTTGTAGCGGTCCACACTACCATCGGGCCGAAACTTTAACTTGTAGACCTACTTAGCTGCAATGGCCTTCTTATTCGGAGGCAACTCTTGCAAATTCCAAGAGCAATTGCCCTCAAGGGCATCAATCTCATGTTGCATGGCGTCCCACCAGCACGCATATTTAACAGCATGGCGTCCCATCATACACTCAATATCCTTTCTGAGAAGAGGGATATCCAAGAAAAACGCACACTCTCCCACGTTCACCAAACTTGTCCAAGTGAGAATGCGTGTCTTTCAAATAAACCAGACAATAAAAAGCACGCAAGTGATCATAGGAAGGGCGATGATTGAACAGACGCTCGTAGGGGGTTTGATTATCAAGGGCACGATGAGGTAGTTGGTTGATTAAGTAACCATCAGTGAGGACGCACTCACCCCAAAACCGTTTTGGCAGATTCGCATGAAAACGAAGAGCACGATCAGTGTCAAGGATATGTCGATGTGTGCACTCAATCACGCCGTTCTGCTGTGGAGTGTGAGTGCACGACGTCTGAAGCCGAATACCCTCATCAATATAGAAGTCAAGCATCTCGACCGACTGAAACTCTGTCTCATTATCGGTCTGAATAACCTTGACCGATTGACTGAATTGCCGAGAAGCCTGTCGAACAAAAAGTTTCAAGTACTTTGTTGCCTCAGATTGGAACTTGAGTAAGTAAATCCATTGCCCACGAGTGAAATCATCAACCATAGTAAGAAAATATTGTGCACCACTCAAAGAAGGAACTCGATATCCACCCCAAATGTCAACGTGGATGTGTTCAAAAGGTCTACTGTTACGAATAGAGCTCGAGGGAAAAAACCAATCTAGGCTGCTTTGCTCGTAAACACGAGGAGAAAAGTGCTTTATTCTGATTATGAGAACTAGAAAACAACTTCAGCAAATCAATTTTCCTGACGACGGATGACCCAGACGCATGTGCCATAAGTCTGCTGGCACCACTCGACGATATGCGCATGCCATCGCTACGCAGGCTAGCAAATAAGCGCAAGTAGTAAAGCCCGTCATTCTGTGCCCCCTTCCCAATAATCGTCTTCGAGCGTAAGTCCTGTATCATGCAGAAGTCGCCCAAGAAAATCAAAGCCAAAGAAAAATCTCGTGTAAGCTGGCTAACAAACACAAGATTGCATTTAAACTCTGGAACCAATAAGACTCGCGACAGGGTCATGCCATTAGACAACCAAACGGACCCGATGACATGAACATAAATAGCAGAGCCATTTGGAACCTTAACTTGCAAAGCCGAATCGCGATGGGAATTAACAATAAGCTGGGAATCATTAACGATATGCTCGTTGCAACCTGTATCGATTAACCACTCGTCATGAGTTAAAGAAGAGGGAACGAAATTACTTGTCATCTTAGTGTCCACTGTAGAAGCCGCCTTCAAATCTCCACCAAAAAGCAGCTTAAGCTGATCAAACTGCGCAGCACTCAGGCCAGGTATGGGGCTCTCATTAACGCCAACCTTATTAGCCCGAGGTCCCCCCTTGCCACGCGAGGGCCCCCCTTTGAGCCCCCCATCCTTGTCGCCCTTGGCAGCTCCACGCTCGGGGTAACCAATGAGTTCAAAACAGCGATCTTTCGTATGCATGTCTTGCCGCAGTGATCACAAACATACCGGGGTTGTTGGGATTGATAGAACGGCTAGAACTAGCACGTTGTGAGGGACGCTCATCCTAGACATGAAACGCGGCCGCCTCGACAACGGGATGACGAGAGCTAGCGATACTGCCCATCAAGAAATTAAACAGTTGCTCACTATTCTTCGTCTCCCGGTACTGCCGCTGAATGTCACAACCGCAGCCCCCACAATGAGATTAAGGAATCGGAGAAATAGACTGAATTTCATCCCACAAACCATGAATTTTCGTGTAGAAACTTGAGACACTCAAATTTTCTTGCTGCAACAGAGCAATCATCTTGCGCAACTCATACAGTCTCGACACGCTTCCCTGTCCGAAACGAGCTTCAAGGTCTTGCCATATCTCGGGAGCTGTGCAAGCAAAACGGACACTTGTGCGAAGCTCTATACTCATAGCGGCTTTTAACCAGCCCTTAACCATCGCATTACAGTGATTCCACTGATCATGGAGAGGCCTTGCCGCTGGTTGAGGGATTGAACCATTAACAAAACCCATTTTATTTTTCGCAACAAAAGAATCAGTAATATCTCTGAGCCACTCACCATAATTGACGTCCGTGAGCAGTTCCCCAACAAACACTTGATTGGGGTCGTCCGAGTTCGTGATGAGGTAAGTTGGAGGGAACACATCTTTGACGGCACCCGCCCCTTCGCCGACGACTCGGACTCAGCCGACATCATCTTCTTGTCATCTAAACCCATGATGTGCAATACAAAACGGTGTGAATCGACTCACAACTCTAATACCATGTAAAATACGAACAATGAAAATACGAACACAACGATTTCGTGGTATCCTCGTTCATATGAACGAGCCTAATCCACGGAAGACCCTCTCAAGGAGTCTTCGGCTATAGTATTCTTAGGGTTTTCTCTTGACTATTGTACATAGGAAACACGGCAGCAACAAGACATATATATGTTCACCAAACCCGAAAACACAAGTTAGGGATTG